GAAGGATGTCTGTGGCCTAGTCTCGTTACGTACGTGAGGGTGTGAGCTTATGGTTGAATGAAGTTGATACAAAGGCTATAGAGATCTGTAGAATATTATACATTCATCACGTATCGGAGTTTATTTTGAGTGCGAACATATACTTCTTCCCAGGCAAACATTTTGCATACAAGAGTGACCATCACAAGTGATCATTTAAAACAGTAGAGCATATTTATTCTACCATACCAAGGGCAAATATTCGACAAACAGTGTCCGTACACAAACTGCGTAATCTGCAGGTGATGCAACCAAGCGTGTAATTGAGGATATTAAACGGTTTAATTTTAGAAAAAAAACGTCATTGCAGTCGTCAGAGCCAGCGTCTTTCACCTCTGAATTCGTGGGTTGGATTCTCGCTACGGACTCATGTGAAAGGAGTCAGTCAACGCTCTGCCGTAAGTCGTGGGTTTTCTCCGGCTGCTCCGGTTTCCTCCCACGGGGAAAGTTGACAGGGTGGGTTGGGATAAACGCAGTTAAGCAAAGGCCGCGGAACCGGGGGGCACTGGGGTACTGTGCCCCCTCCTCTTTTTTGAAAACACCAAAATGTGCCCTTTTCCTCAAGCGAACGTGCCCCTTTTGAGTCATGAAATGTGCCTTATGGTATACTACGAATCTGAAATATACGATCTCAATATAGACATTTATATAGCTAAATGTTGCTTTGGAGTTCTAATTATGCAAGCTCAATCAAGCAATATCATGACAAATATTTGACACAATCAGTCGAAAATTATGTTTACACAGGAGTTAAACGGACTCTTAAAACGCTACTTTTGAGGAAAACCTATATATCATCCAATACTTTTTTTCAAAACGCAGTGTTTTCGACTTTTTAAGCATGCAGTGATTCCAGTGTTCATCGCACTTAATACACAGAAGTTAGTTCGTTAAGGAGACGATTCTTAACCTTTGGGGTAGTTTTCTCGATTAAAAATTGTGTTCACTCTCATGTTTTGGTGTGAAAACCGCTAGTGATCCGGTTGAGTGGACCAGATGGGATTGCTTTAAGATCATTGATATGGACATGCTGTGTGATTGGTTGATAATAAAAGACAATAAACTATAGAAATTATATTTCTAAGGAACGAATTATAAAAAATAATCATTTTTTTTTTCAGAAAACCAATCACAAAAGGAGTTCAGGTTGGCACTTACTAGCCCTGCGTCATAGCTATACAGGGTGTCTGAAAAAAAAGTGACACTATAGAAATTATCTCATTGTTCTTAAGCCGCTCTTATAAACGCGCGTGATTACACCCCTGGGAATTTAATGAACTTGTATTTACATTTAAGCATTTTAAAACGTTTTCGACTGATAGTATTATTTACTTGTAATTTGACTATTGTGGTAATAGGAGTTATTTTAAATTCCAGAAGCAGAAGTTTATGCACCTGTGGGATCAACTTAGTGCTAGGGCATTCAAATTATAACAATAGGATAATTTCTATAGTGTCACTTTTTTGGGGGACACCCTGTACAGTAGACTCTATCTCGAACAATCGAGGCTATTCAGTCTATGACGTAGGTTAATAATTACTGCCCCGCTTTTTTCTCGGGTTTGTTTGTTAATTTATATCAATAGCTATTCATGTGCAGTTGCTGTTGTTAGCTATCTAACATGCATGCACAAAACGTTCATTGGTAGGGATGCAACTGCCTGAAAAATACAAGGAGAAATTCGACGTTTCGACCGAAGGCTCTTCGACTTCACTAACGTAGCACTGACGAGGCGTAGAACGCCGAAATATACATGTGCGCAGATTGTACTCAGTCCACCACGACTCAAAGTAAATATTCTGACGAAGGTTGTGGCATACAGCCGAAAATTTAGTTTATATTTTTAAGTTAAATTTTCCTTTGAGTCGTGGTGGACTGTTTAATTTGGTCTTCGATATTTGTGCTTGGTACACTATACACATTATAATATATAATTCAGCGTTTGTACTTGTTATAATCTCGAACTGCCTTTGCCAGTGTAGGTAGTTCCAATTATAACAGTTACAACCAAATGGAAACCAACTTATCCATTATTTATTATATAAAGTATAGTGCTTTATAGAGATTTCGAGCACTGATAAAAGTGATAATCTCACATGTGAGATTATTCATGATAATCTCACATGTGAAAATTATCGCTTTTTAATTATCGCTTTTCTGTAAAAATTATCGCTTTTCAAGACTGTCCTTTATATAATAAACAGATAAATACATGGGTGCTTGGAAATACCAGATTTATTTCTCGGCTGCGCTCACTCGTGAGATATCGTTCAACACTCGAAATAAATCTGGTATTTCCGCGCACCCATGTATTATTCTCTATTTAATTCAAACCTACTGAAGATATAGAGAATCAGTAATCTTTGAAACGAAGTTTGATTTGGATGCTGAAGCTGTGTCAAAACTGCGGCCAGCTCACTTTTATAAACCTGCCGCCGGTGTGACTGGGTATTATTAAACTTCAGTATATAAAAACACAACACAATTTAATAAGTAATAGCAGTAAATCAGTGACCTTTAGGCCACTTCCGGAACTCTATTGTTGTATTTTAATATAATAATTGATCTTATGGTATACGCCCTTCGATCAGAAATCAGCTGTTGCAGACTTAGCCCACGTCATAACCAAGCTTAACAAAGCTATTTTTACCTAATTATACTTAAAAATACGAGGCAAATGTCATCTGACAATGTACTGCGGAAATGTCCTTTTCAAAATGGTATTCGAATGTACGTGCGGCAAAGTCGTCAAGAATGTGTTATCCTACGTGTAGTCAAACACATAAATATCCCGGTGTTCCAAATAAATTATCGGCATTAGTGATTAGAGTTGAACACCTTCAACTGTGCATTACTGAAAAGTTGAGCTCTTATATATACTCGAGGTGAAAATGGCTCAATTTGATGTGGTCGTAGAAGTGGTACAAGCAAAAGAAGCTGATGAAGATTTTGAAAAACCTAGCATCTCAACAAGGTTTAAGAATTTCTGTCTGCGAAACATGCTATCAATTGGAACTATATTTTCCGTAATCATCGGAATATTTCTTCCTCAACCTGCAGTCTATCTCAGCCAAAGAATGCCAGTCGCAAATATTTGCATCATTGTTCTCTTTTTCACCATTGGTTTACGACTACGTCTTGTTGAAGCAAAATCTGCGGTCAAATTTTATAAAGAGGTCATCGTTGGTTTGCTTTTGGTCCTGTTTGTTGGCCCAGTTTTTGCAACAAACGTGCTTAACCAGGTCCCATACTTTGGTTCATTCATTGGTGATGAGCAGAATTTGAGAAACAGTTCCAAGAATTCCTCCGAAGAAATGGCAATTCTTGGACCCGAGGAATTTCGTCTTGCTTTGCAAATATATTATATGTGTCCATCGGCTCCGGCTACGTCACTCATTCTGGTAAGTTAGGGGCCGATTACATGGAGAACTTTCAACCCCGGGGTTGAACTCAGCCCTGTTAACCGGGTTGAAAATTTTTGCGATTACATGGACGATTTCAACCCCGGGGTTGAAACGCTATACTATACGTTCTCGGCATCGATTCCCAGAAGTAAAAAAAGCCTTTATTTTGTTTTCTTGAAATAAATAGTCACTACCACGTACGCACGAATAACTCATGATAATTTCAGCCCTGGGTTGAAACGATTACATGACAAAATTTTCAACCCAGGGCTGAGTTCAACCTCGGGGTTGAAATTTCAACCCTGCCATGTAATCGTGCGTTTGATTTTGATAGAGTTTTGTGTTACAGACAGGGCTGAAATTTCAACCCGGTAAACAGGGCTGAGTTCAACCCCGGGGTTGAAAATGCTCCATGTAATCGGCCCCTTAGTATACTGTATGTTGACATGAAACATAAAAAAGGTTCTCACCGAGAACGGGTGGTGAGAACGGGTTCATTTATTATTGTATAAAGTACGCTACATTTAGATATTCTTAAATAAAGGTGCAGTAAAGTTGATACGTATTTTATAACAAGAAAAAAACTTGATTATCAAACTGTGTTTTACATTTTAATCCCTCTATCCTTTTTCTACCAATTGTTCATGGTATTCGAATATTCAGATTTTTCAAATTTTTTTCCTAAATTCATAAACTCAAAGGGTAAAGCCTGGTTTCCATATGGTCGTCGTAATGGTCGTAAAAATAGAATCACCAACGATCTTTCTCAACGGCCAGTTTATAATAGTTTATACCTGTAAACCACATATAAATCATAAGTATTCTCTAGTTATAATCACTCCGCGTATTTTCAGTTCTAAAATGTTGATTTCGGCTGATGAGAAAGATCGTGACTCAATCTTTACGACCGTTACGACCATATGAAAACTAGGGTTAATTAGAAAATTAAATTAGGAGAAGCTGCACAATTCTTGCCATTTTCAGGGGCAAATATATGAAGTATTATACGAGTAACGTATGGGTAGAAAATACGCTAAATATTGGTTTCTACTGTATATATTCATTGTAGGTAACAGCAGCAAACGGTCACCGAGGTTTGAGTATCTTGCTTTCAATTTTATGCGTGATTATATCTGTATTTATCATCCCTCCTATGTTGGCATGGTCAGTACCAACGTTACAACATGTTCGTCTTAATGTTGGCCAAGTGTTGTTGGATATTATGATCAGGATTTTGTTGCCTTTAATGGTGAGTATGCCATATATAGTCTGTAGTTTTATAAAACATTGTCATGATCTTTTCAACATTCTTCAAGCTAGGAAGGTCCAAATTACTTTAATCAACCCCTAGCGCATCAACCCCACAGCACGTTAATCGTGCATGTATATAAACCTTCCAGAAAACGTCGTGAAATAATGGGGGTGCGGTTGTCAAAACACCACCGCACTTCAGTCGTTGCAAATTGCAGACCATAAACCATTTCGGTATAGCTCAAATGTGATATAAATTTGGTTAAATTGTTCATGTCTGAAAAAGCACTGTTACACCTTAGTTGATTGGCTACCATTCAAAGGTTCTCAGAAATTATTAAAGTGTGTGGTCTGCTCCCTCTCCTAAATATCAGTTTAATATGCAGAGTGCTTCGCCATCATTTTAATCCAATCGCTTTTTAACTTTTATATATTTTTTTAAAGATTGGCAGATGTTTGCGTTGCGTACCCCCTGTAAAGAAAGTCGTCACGAAATGGAACGATACAATAAAATACGTTGGAATAGGTTTCGTTCTTGTATTATTTCTGGTTAAAGTGAGTGAAACGAGCGCAAGTGGAGTTTTAGATAAAGTTTCTGTTATGAATATTCTATGTGCAGTTGTACTTGGAACAGGTCTGGCAACATTTAATGCTCTATCAACTTATGGCTTTATGTCAATCTTACCTTGGTTCTCAAATAAATCAAATGTGACATTATCAATATTGAGTTGTAATCGACTTGTAACACTGGCAGCTACCATTGTTGATGTATTACCTGACAACATAGGAGACAAAGGACTTCTTGTTCTTCCTATGGTGTTTATCTACCTTGCAAGTCTATTGATGTCGAATGCTTTTGTATCTGTTGTCAAAGTCAAAGAAGAGGACACTGAACTGGATAAACCTTCACAAACTACAGAGCAAGACAAGGATATCAACAATTCAACTATAAACTCCAACATTAATGAAGGTGCAATCTTTACCATCTACACTGATGAAATGTCAGTCAAAGATGAACAATTGTAAACAGAATAAAAACTTCTAGGAAGTGTAAAAATATTTTATAAAAAAGGATGATTTTTAATGTACATGACTAACCTATCCCTGCTTGGTGGGTTTGACTGAGACAGTATACGCGGCACATGATGATGGTCAACTGCCTTGGCATGATTCCCTTTCATACATTTGACTACCATCCATGTGTACCATGATACAAAACATTTAATAAAACCTAATCTGTATATATAGATATACTCACAGAGATATGTAGACCGTGTTGAGCTTTACACTGTTAATTTCGGGGAGTTAATTTAACTCCGCTGGAGTTATACTGTACCTCAATTAACTCCAAATGTGGAGTAAAATTAGGTTCAGAATAATACCACTGGAGTTAAATTAACTCCTTGAAAATGACAGTGCATTCATCCCCTTATCATTGGATATATTGGGGGGGGGGGGGGGGAGCAGTGAAGCGACTAAACTCTAGTGTAGAAAAAATTCCAGAAATAATATTTATTCTAGTATTTATTTCAGTAGTTTAAATGATTAACTTTGTCATATGTAAAATATCGAACAGTGTACTGTTAATTTCAAGGAGTTCGTTTAACTCCATGCAGTGGTGCTATTTTGTAACTCCACAGTCACTTAGAGTTAAATGAGGTATACAATTTAACACTACTGGATTTAAAAGGTTGTTTTGTATAATTGTTCTCAACGAATGTAAATCATATAACAATAGAGTTGATGTTCGCGGGTATAAATATGTTTTCGGCCAGACTCAGTATAAATAATAACAAATAGACAGCAAACAGTTGAACAGTGCCAGTATATATCGCCGTATTATGTTCCCATTTAGACAGGGTGGGGTAATTCAAGATTTTTAGTCGTACCTGACTGGTACTCCAATGGTTATTGCCGCGTACTTGAACTGGTACAAACTTAAGACTCAATTAAGGTGCACTTAGTCTTTAGACTAAACAACATGACGTACAGCCTTCTGAAAGGTACTTCAGTATCTGAAACTATGAGATAAGACAAGCCAGGAGAACATACTGTAACTATACAAACATGCACTACAAATGGTCTGGTCATGTTTTATGCCAAGATCTGTCATCCTTACACATATGCCGACTTAGTTATTGTTTCGAATATCTTGGGGGCTTGGAAAGGTCAGATGGTATCAACAAAAGCTAAGTTGGTACGTGGGTGAAAAAAAGACCGCGACCTTGGCGTATTTACGTGCAATATTACTAGCGTATTTCCTGTATTTATGTACCTCCGGTAAACGTAAATGCAATTTCTACCTCCGGTACGTCAGCACAGGACTGATTGTACCCTGATTCAGACACAGTTACGTGATGAACAACCATTATTACTTTTACAGAATGAATTTTATTTGCTCAACGTTTTGAAAGTCCGTTACATGACTTGTCGACTGAGAATTGTGTCAAATATTTTTCATGATAGATCTTTGGATGCAAATAATTGTTGACTTTATTATTCACAAGTCTTTGCTGATGAAAAGAAATTCCGCGACATACGGTTTCCCAATGAACAATGTTTTCTAAAATTAAACCGTTTAATATGATTATCCTCAATTACACGCTTAGTTGCATCACCTGCAGATTACGCGTGAGTTTACTGTATAGACACAGTTAAACTGATAATATGCTCTACTGTTTTAAAGAATCACTTCTTACAGTCACTCCTGTATGTTAAATGATTTGCCTGGGAAGAGGTATGTCTAGGAACGAAAAAACGAAAATAAACTCCGATACGTGATGAATATATTAATCATTTTTATTCTACAGATTTCTATAATTATCAACTTCATTCAACCATAAGCTCACATGCGACCCTCACGAACGTGTACGAGACTGATCTAAACCCTTCAAATCGGGAGGTGAATCATTCAAAACCATGGGGTCTTTTCCTCCCCTTCCCCTAGGTGAAGTGTTGCTTCCCAGAAATGCAATATTGGTCCCTTTTCGCTAACATCTGAATTGCACAGTAAATATATAAAGTTGTCGGTATAGTTATATGCTGGCGGTAGTTGTTTGCTTTGGTATAACGTACTACAGCAACAAACAAGATATTCAACTCAAATATAAAATCAGTACGTTCCCGAGACTTGCAGAATGATAAAGAACAGAACTTTTTTTTATAAAGAACAGAATTGATATTTGCTGTGTTGGTGTAGTGTACTCAGGTGAATAAGATGCTTGTGATGTTACTCTGTGTGTGTATCCACACCGGGCAGGCTTGGAAAATATGCCTGACCACGGTGGGAATCGAACCTACGACCTTTGTAACACCAGCCCAATGCTCTGCCAACTGAGCTACGCGGTCAGGTCGGTTCGAACAGAACAGAATTAGTAAAGTACAGACCTCATCAATGGAAACCAGCCGGAAAAGATCAGCAACGAAAAGATGTGGGAAAAGGCCCAGCAAATTCTGTATAGTAGATAAAGAAATAGGAAGAAGATGGCGCTAAATTGGAAAGTCTATCATTGTACGGAAAAACGGGAAATTTCTCGTCTCACGCCTTTGATTTTAAAATGTAAACAAAACAATTTTAACACGCGCTGTTAGTGAAAAACTGTGTGATCATATTAGTTTTGAAAACCAAATCAAGGAACCACAAGACAAGAAGTTAATTCTCAGTTTAAATAGAGATAGCCTGCGTAGCAGGCACTATTTAGGGGGGAGGGCGAGGGTGGGAGAAGCTAAGGGGGGGGGGATGCGAAGGCGAGAGAAAGAGAGCGAGGAAAAATGGGTCTTTCTCTCGCCTTCGCATTCCCCCCGCCCTAGCTTTTCTCACCCTCGCCCTCCCCCCTAAATAGCGCCTGCTACGCAGACTAAAATAGAGAAGACTTTGACTATAATTCTATAGTCAAATTGACGCAGGAGTAAAGGTCGGGCAACAGATATAGAGTTGACTTTATGCTGAAGTAATTGGAATTAATAAATTAATCGATTAAAAAATGGCTATAAAAACTTTTCGTAAGTTATACTGTAAACGAAATAGAAAACATTTTTTGCTGTGTTTGTATACATGCAGTTATAGAAACACTTGTGGTAGTTTGGGAGAAAATCGAAATAACGTGCAAAAGCTATCCTTTGGGAGTCGTTTTCCCACTGAATATTTCTCGTTCTCCCAAACCTGTTTCTGTACAGTTATATGTTTTCCATTTCTTAATCGTGAAATAGTCTGCATCTTGTTTTGTTAGATATTACTGACTTTATGAATTTCCGTTTTAAATTTAGGAATTAAATTTACGATTTTCGTCATTCTGGGTTTCTGCAACGCAGCCGCTCGTAATGCGAGAGATATTTATTTGACATTTTCAACTCTTTCTCAAATCATCACTTCAATATGGAATAGAGTGAATAAAGAAAGGTCTCGAAATTTCTATAGACTTCTTGTAATACAAATTCCCTCAAAATTTCGGAGAAAATTGCCGTCGTTTCCACAGTGATCCACGGTATTTTCCTCTCAAACTATATCCTGCAAATAAACGCCTGATGCAGGCTACTTGAACATATACTTGAACTACAATATGCCGCAAGTGCCGCGATAGCCTGCTCGCAGGCTAGTGACGCGGTAAAACTTCAGCTCGGAATAGGTAAGGGCCTGTGGTAAAAAGGTAGTTAAAGTTAACTACAGATAGTGCAAAAGCCGTAATCAATCAAAATCGCGTATTTAATAACTACAGTAATTTAACTACAAAACAGTGGTCAAAAAGTAGTTAAGAGTTTTATAGAACTGACCCAGCCCCAGGGTACTCATATACTATATACCAGCTACTACATGCATAAGTGCCCCTACGAAGTGCGGAGTGCGGAGCCAGATGCAGATATATATAGCTCAGACGATCCGTCTGTTTGTTTGCCGCATTTACACACAAATGAATTATCAAAAGTTATTTTTTGTCCAAGTTCGTCAAGCTGATCTTCTCCCTTTTGTCTAGTTTTGAGTTTTATTGATAAACAATTATTTCAACAGCGCTGCATTTATCTCGACAATTATTAACTTCTTATTAATTCCGAACGCGAGGTCTGTACAGAGAAATATCGGACCGATATTTCTCTGTACATACCGAGCAAGCGAGGTTAAAATAAAAAGTTTATTATTGTATGGCATTTATTAACCTCCTCCGCAGGCAACTCTTTGGCAAAAATTGGCAAAAGTATTATGAACAACAGCGAATTTATAGTTAGGGATTGTTAGGGATCACTATTACCACTTTTGCCATACAATAATTACGTATTAAATCAGAAATATAATCTTGAAACATGACTAAAAGTAAAACAGAATTTTTTTACTCTCACTACCTACCATGATAAGAAAACAAAAAATACCAATGACCAATGTCTTTTCCACTAAAACCATTCGCAGATATCTTATTAATAACAAAACAAATTATAATTTTCAAATTTTCAATTAGTTTTGTTGTTTTGTCTTAACTCTTTTTCGACCACCCCCTCTCGCATCATATTACGACACAATTTTTCTAATATAAATATCTTGGCGAGTATTTACCCCCCTTATAAATAAATACCACCATTGTAATCCTCACAAAATAACCTTTCGTAAATGGACAAGCCTAATAATAAAACTTATAAGTTTTCATATTTCAAATAGCACAGTACGAAAATAAAACCATGCATCAGGCCCACCTGGTGTTTCACGTATATGGTATTTAGACCACGTTATACTTTTGTTATATACAGTATTTTATTGTTAAAATTTGTTAAACTATGGGTAGAGAGTATATAGTATTTTTATATCACATAACCTTACATTGAGCCAGTAGTATCAAGTGTAGCAGGCTCCCATTAGGCCTGATGCAGCCTGGGCCTGATGCAGCCTGGGCCTGATGCAGCCTGGGCCTGATGGGGCTGGGGGGTTATAGCCCCAGTTTTGAAAACTCTCAACAATCACAATTGGAATTATATTAATTGTGTCACTCTGTGTTTTCTGAGGCAAAATATTTAGGTGCATAATGGGCCATTCCGTGTAATATGTGTACCCCCCCCCCTTATTGAAGGGTCTGGATATCCAATGGGGGAGGAGGGGGTCCTCTGCCTATAAATTTGCTTACTGTACAGGGTAGCTTGAGATTTTTTTTTTAAATGGCAAAGATTAGCAGTGGCATAGCCAGGGTCTAAACTTTGGAATGCGAGCGCCGGAGGGGTGAGGAACCTAGGGGGGTCCAGGGGCATGCCTCCCCAGGAAAATTTTGAATTTTTAGATTCATTAGAATGCTATTTCACATATTTTAGGACAAGGTTTGAAGAAAAGTTACAACCACAAAACGCCATTTTTAAGTCGCCTAATGTTGTTTAAATTGGAAAAATATTCATATAAAACATTGTACTGTACACACAAACACAACAGCAATATAGCACGATGTCTTTTGTAATAAAAAGAATGAAGCTCACTTGGCCACCATATTAATTTTTGAACTTTGAAGTTGGTCATGAGTGCTGCTATGCATGTAAATTCAAGTTCAAATGTGCTTTCAACCACCATCTATAGGCATTCTTACTGGAGTTAGGATTCTAGATAGGGAAGACTACAACTTTATTGGTAAACAAAAGTGATGGGTATTGTTATTCACACAAAGTCCCCCCCCAATTCTACCCCCTACACCCCCCTCTCCCCCCCCCCTGGCTATGCCACTGAAAATGAGATAATGACATCCAAGAGGGAAAAAGAGATATCCTAAAGGGGTTTAAATTAATAGTAAGATATCCTCTGGGGTAACTTGCATCCAAGGGGGTTCCAAAATTTTTATATCCTAAGGAGATTATGAAGGAACCCCTAATGGAATGGCCCAATGGCTGGAGGACATCCATTTTTTGGACCCCCACTCTTGGAATTTCCCGCAGATTTTGATGAATTTCCTGCCTACCCCATGGAATTTCCACAGATTTTTAATTAATTTCAGTCTACCCATCCCTTGGAAATTCCACCAATGGTTTTTGACCTAGTCTCTGGAATTTCCACATTTTTTGTCTAATAGGTAACCATCCCTTGGAATTTCCATGTTGTGTTTTTAACCTAACCTGTGGAATTCCCACAGATTCTCTTCAAAAGTTTTATCAGACCCTCGCTTGGAAATTCCTTCTTTTTTTGTTGAATTTAGGAAGGGGGGAGGTCTAGAAACTCCAGTATCCTCCATAGTGGGGGGGGGGGTATGCAATAAGCCAATTTGAGTTAGGGGTTCAATTTGCAAAGCTAGGGCATGCTCAATTTTTGGGGCCTGTGCCAAACTGCCCACCCCACAACCCCACCCCACAACCCCACCCCAGGCCCTGTTTTGAACTTCAGGTTGCCTTTGTGGATTACCTGTAATTATCATTAGCTGGGATATTTTGCGCAAAATACAAAGCACTTGTCCTCATTCTCCAGTGCCATTTTTTTGCGGGCAATGTAAACAAAACACAGTCAGCAACTTTCTCTAATAATAAATCAACTAACTGTTTATGAGAGCCTCCATAAAATGCTTCAACTATTAATACAGTGCTTGCCATATCTTCCCCACTGTCCATTCAGAGAATTTGAAATAACTCACGTCATTTCATTTCATCATCATATTTGATCATATTTCTCAAAATAAATTCTGAAAAAATATAATTTTGTAACTGACACTTGCGGCGTCTTGCGCATGCCTAATGCGCACTTGGAGGCAAAATGGCGACTTGAAAACAGTGAATTTGAAAATGAGTTCGTCTCAACAAGAGCTCGAGTTTCCTTTTGATTCGGAAGAGGAGTATGAATTAATTCTCGGGGAAAGCTTCCTTTCAAGCCGTCCAAATACTGGCTTTCATACGATACGATGTAAGACGTGTTTTGATTGTTTATATTTCAGTTGTAATATTTTCATAATTTGGTTTGAATTCAGATTTTCATCACAAAATTTGTGAAATCAATATTATGAAATATTAAGGCAGATAATTTTATATAACCTGTGAAAGGATCGTAAAGTACAACTTATTACAAGTCCTCATTTCAAATACTGATATTTATCAAGTGGTTTTAAGAGCCTTGTGTGCTGGGAATAAACTTCTTCAGTGATGGGACTGATGTCTGATGGGAGTGATATATTAATATTTCAAGGGCACACCGCTACAGGTTGCCAAAATTGATGGCCTGGGCAGAGAGTCTCTCCAATGAGTGGCAGAACTCTTCGGTCCTATTAAAGAATGCCCGGAGAGATTCGTTGAATGCCCGGGAGTCAGGAAAGAATGCCTAGAATGAACTCTTGTTAGTTATGCACCTATCAATGTTTTCCCCCTGAGGGGGGTGCGGGCAACCCAGGGGAATTTTGACATTTTTAAAATTTTGTCGTCAAAATCCCCACTGTTGGGCAAGGAACGGCTGTCAAAATTCCCCACTATATTCCTAAGATAACAAGGCACACATATGCTTTCCATACGATATGAAGAATTATCAAGCCCGAAATTTGCCATTATCAACCGAAGCTGAAGGCTAAGGTTGATAACGGCAAACTGAGGGTTTGATAATTCTTCATATTGTGCGAAAACTGAATTCAATAATTGTTTTGTTATTTATTTTAAAAATTCAAAACAAACATTTGTATTTTATTTGTATTAAGAAAAAAATCCTTAGTCCTTCGGCAGCCGTCGTCGCGTCATATCAAATTGAATGGCGTCAGCGAGTCAATATGATTCTCGTCGTCATTGTAATATGGCGCAAACACGTCCAAATTTTTTTCATATTGTTGACTCATTTTGCTAATATGAATGTGAAAAATGAAACGTCATTTGCTAATTATGAATGTGAAAAATCCATATTTGGTTAGCCATTGAGTTGATATGACAATTTCACAGTTGGCTGTTAGCCAATCAGAAACCAGGATTTTTTTAAATAAATAATAATAATATCCCGGGCATTCTTTCCCGACTCCCGGGCATTCTTTCCCTACTCCCGGGCATTCTTTCCCTACTCCCGGGCATTCTTTCCCTACTCCCGGGCATTCTTTCCCGACTCCCGGGCATTCTTTCCCGACTCCCGGGCATTTTTTCCCGACTCCCGGGCATTCAACAAATCTCTCCTGGCATTCAACAAATCTCTCCTGGCATTCTTTAGTAGGACCTGAACTCTCCCCTTGATGAGTAAAATCATCTGGCATTACATTTCCTGGACAGAGTCAAATGATAGAGTAGGACACAACCTTGGGTTATTAGGATGTGCATTAGCAAGGGTGCATTCCATGTAAATATCAAGATTCTTGTATGTTCCGCCCTATTCTCGCTCATATTTATTTCACGTCTTCGTAATTTATGATATGGCGGCACAAGAACCTCAGGAACCAGGGTAGAGGACATATACTGTAGTTGCATTTTCGCAGCTGTTCTATCACCAATATTTCAAAAATTTCACTTTTAGGGACTAAAATCCCTGTCTTTGAGTAATCTCATGCCAAAACGCCAACAAATTTTGTATTCTCCCGCTGGAGATCTCCGGCATGGAATGCATGGAAATGGAATGCACCCTGGTTGGCTGATTGAAAAAAAAAGTAGGGTTCATCAAGGTGCAACCCTTTCATATTTACTGTACATATTAAATTGCTCTCTTCCATGACATTTTTTAATAAAATAATGACTTTCATTGATAAATAATTAATTTGAACTACATGTATAAATGAATGTAGATGATTTCAAACCAGCATCAGTTGATACGTCACAAGCAGGAAGTCTTGATGTTGGCAAAGGAGGTGAAGTAAACGTCTCACTCCCTAATACACAGGTACTATGTTTTCACTCTTTCAATTTACTCTTATTCCACCCTGTTTGTGGTAACTCTGTACTAGGGAATTACTTGGACAAGAAAAAACCCCAGTAAACTTGGGTATACACTAGCAATTAATGCACCAAAAACACTTTGATGTTTCGAGCATGGCCAGTTTTTGAAGGGAGATTGGTTGCACCTACCCTAACAATTTTGTCACTTTTCACTTCTATTAATTTTGTAACCATCATCATACAATCAAAATTCATAAAATATTAGGACACTTATATACATTATTATCTACAGTACATTACATGCTCCTCAAATTTTTAGTAATACGGTTGTGGCACATACCGGTACAGTATTTGAGGGCACCGGTACTTTTTATGTCATAACAAGAAATATTAGCAACAAAATATACTATAGACTGAAACACTGAAATGCAGGAGAAAAAGTACCCTGAGCTTGTTAAAAATTGCATCTTCGTACACTGTTTGCCTTCTGCAGTTGGGCGTCGCCAAGAATTTTTCAGACAGTGCTTCAATTAAATGTGTTATGTTTGACTTATGAATAGTTACAGCGTTTATGGCTCTGGCACACAACATGCATAATTTTGCCCTCAGATGCAGTGCTCAATCAGGGACAGCGCTTGAAAATGTCAAAGTGTTTTTAATATATAAAGTTTCATTTTCCACCTGATACTGGAACCCCAAGGGTTTCAATATATTTGAATGAATTCTGATCAATTGCCATGAATCTGGAAAAATTCTTAAAAATACCTTTCTACCTAGTTTCCTGTTCTGGTTAATTACCTGGGCTGTGTTACTATATAAAACTTCCCAATCATATGATTGTGTTTGATAGGACTCAGGCACGACTGTGTACAGAGGATCTAAGAAACCTTGTCCAAAAGAATGTGTTCTGGTTGTTGACAGAGGGAAGAGAGTAAGGAGAGACTTGTGTATTGTTGAAAGTGAATTGTTCATTTTTTAACTAATATATAATTATACTGTATAATTATACACGTTTTGGTAAATCATGAATCTTACTTTTTAGACTATAACATTAGAACGGCTGGCTAGCACGGTCCAGCTAAAGAAAATAAGGTATATATTTGGTTAACTATTACTACTTCAGTATTGAGAATCATTAATTGAGTATGGTAAACTCTGGGAAAGGTGTACCTGAACACTTTTATGTTTTAAAACACATAAAGTTTACAGTAGATAACTACAGTACATGTACATTTTAAACTTAAAGCATGCAGGACAGCAACGTAATGACAACGGCTCAACAGTATCGCAATGAAATATGATCGTATGGAAAATGTAGGCTTGTCCTAACACCCGAGAATAGGAAGCCAGTTCGCGGTTACTGTACTTGAAAGCATTAAGTCTGTATTGCTAAATGATTTCATACACTGCTTGTCATGAGAGTATATACAGTAGCCTATTTTCATAGTGACACTGCAGAGAACAACAAACAAATTTTATCTCGAGCGGGGATTGGAACTTGCATCTTTGGGTACTGTATCTCATAGTTAATAGAATAGATGGTTTGGAAACTCATTAGAATAACAGTATAACTCATTATCTATGTTAGTCAACGTTTATTCATAAACATGGTCGTTCACCGTCACATGTGTATTGTGTTCTTGCCAAATCCACCAATAGCAATTTTCGATTTACCCTATTGTTCGAGTCACGGATAGGTAACTTTCCTAAGACATTGCTATTGGTTAGTTGGGCAAAATTACAATACACACGTGACGGTGAACGACCAGATTTATGAATAAACGTTGACTAATGAGCTATATTGTTATTATAATGAGTTTCCAAACCATCTATTCTATTAACTATGGGTATCTACAGTAGACCGCCGTTCTACCCATTGAGCTATCGAGTCAACGGGGATTGGTAGTGACTAGTGAGTCTTGTCCAATTGAAGTGCACGAAATATTTTCGGGAAGACTTGACGCTTGTCTTGAAGGACAAACGTTAAACCCGAATCCTTCGTAACAATAAATGTTTCCCTGCAGTGTCCAAATACAGTGGTGGATTTAAGGGGGTGCAGGGGGTGCGCCCCCCCCCCCCCAG